CAGGGTCTGGCCTGGCCTCGCAGCATTGAGGCCAGACCATGGCCTACCGGTATAAGTACCGGTACCTGCCTCAGTAGAGGTATCGACCTACCGGCACTATACCGGTACGGTATGGTCAGCGCCAGAGCGCTGTTTTGATGCGCTAAACTTAGCGCAGGGGCTGAAGCAGCAGCGCAGCATAGCGCAGATTAGCGCAGCAGCGAGCGGAGCAGCGGCAGGGCGACTGAACCAGCACGGCGGCCATTGCCGCCTGAGGTACTGGGAGCTTGGAGGATCTCTCCTCCTCTCCCTCGCCAGTCCCCTCTCTCTCTCTCTCTCTCCTCTTCTTCTCCTCCCTCTTCTTCTTCTTCCTCTTCTTCTTATTCTTCTTCTTCTTCTTCAGATTGGAGACTATCCAGTTGGACAGAGATCAGGGTTGGACTTCGGTGATACGAGACTGTGGTACTTACCTGATTGGAGACTTGGAGATTGTTGAGGTTGATACTCGGCTGCATCGCAGTTGGACACCGGTTACATCTGGACTACTACTTCGGAGACCTACCGGACTCTATCTTGTGACCTATCAGTGTGATCTACCTCCTACCTCCTTCGTCTCTCCTCCCACCTTTCATCTGTGCATGTGTGTACGGGATCTGGGTATCTTCTATGTATGACCCAGACCCCACCATCTCATGATCGTATGTGTGTGGAGTGATGCCATGTAGGTCAGTCTATGTGAGTCAGTCTATGTGAGTCAGTTCGTTATCAGACTTCCGCTGCATAAATGCTCATCCTATATTGGTTGATCTTTGGTTCTGCCCATACTCATTGAAGTATGTAACAGAGAGAGAGAGAGAGAGTTTTCCAGCCATGCACGCAGAAAGATAGAGAGAGGCTACTTCCATCAATAGGATGAGCAAAATCCGAATGAATCAGACACACACACACACACACACACACACACACACACACACGCACACACAGACAGAATGTCTCCTTGTTTTGGGGGGGGAGCGAGAGAGTCTCCGTTTTTGGAGGGGGGGCAACCGGGGGGGTAATTTTCCAAATACCCCCATTAGTTGAGATATATGTCAAAATGTCCCTAAAAGATATGGGCACAGTGGAATGGCCTTTTGGACTGACATGTTTGTGTTATGCCCCTGTCAGGTGGATGTGCAAATTCTCTTGGCCTTCTGCAATTGCGCCTACGAAAAGTTGGCAACTGCCGGGGCATTTTGCAAAGTTGGGCAGTGTCCGGTAGGGGTACATTGCAAAGCTGGGGTCCAACCGATGGCTGCGGTGTTTCGCAAAATGTTTCTGTCATCGTCCTTCGCCGCAGCGTGGCTGCAGCGGGTCCACTTGTACTGTTAATGACTGTTGACAGGTTCTCGTCTCGGTGGGGACAGCCCTTCAGGCATGATTTGAGCACTTCTTGTTCAATCCAGTCTTTCCTATCTTCAACCCAAATGTGGCTTATCCGCGATACCCCATGCTTGACCCGCTAGAGCCATCGCTGGCCGCTTGAGAGTGAGAATGAGTAGTCCCCTGCGTCCCCCAGACAGGGGCTGGTGAAGGACTTCCTCCTTTGATTTAGGTTTCTTGACTAATCTCCCTCCATATGTGGATGAGAGCAGTCCAGCAGGGAGTAGGGGGCCGTGTACCGTTCTGGGAAGCGCTAGCTGCTCGTCTCCTCCGGGCAGTTTTCGGGGTCCACTCCTTATTCATCACCCAGAATAGGCCCGCATGTTGGTTGGGCCTTGGACAGGCGCTAAAGATTTGATGCTGTCAAGCGCTAGTTTGTGCCTGGCCAGCCTGGGTTGGGTTAGCAACTTGATTATCCTTCCTGCTTGGGGTCGATAATTCCTCATCCCCCTTTGGACAGTCCTTGTTATATAGTGCCAGGCTATCTTTGGTATGTGTGTTGTTTTGTTGGGGCCGCCTGACCATAGGTATGTCCTGGCTTTGCGGTTCAATTCCTTGGTGGTGTGGTCAGATATGGTCCAAATGGAGGCGATATATGTTTCGCGATTCACTTTTCCAAAGTTGGAATCGTCTGAGTTTTCCCTTTTCAGAACTTTCAGCATTGATTGTTTCAGATTCTTTTGAGCAGGGTTCATCCCCGTTTCGCTCTCACAAACAGACATTCGACAGCCAGCATGCTGCCTCCTTTGCTGGGCGGGCAGTGTAACATGGCAAGCCGAGTGGTCTCAAACCCTCAACCTGTTACCTTTCGGTGCCAGCCCTTCAGAGTGCTTTTGCACAAAGGCATCTTCCAAGCTGTGGGCCTTTCCTTCCAAATCCCTGGCACCCTAGCATTTTAGCAGATTTGGCCCGCAGGCGCGCCCGCGTTCCCTTTTCAATTCGGAACTCTTTGGCACCAACAGTTCAGCTTGGGCCCATTCAGACCCACGCCTCACTCACCTGCGGGTCCTTACAGCGAGAGCTAGCATTGTGGCCGTTACATCGATGGCTAGCAGCACTGTTCACACGTAATTAAATCAAGTGCATTGTTCTATTCTTGCTTCAATACTGCTTGATTCTTAATCCATCAAGTCTAGTCCCTCTCAGTCTCTCTCTCTCCTTCTCCTCCGCTGCCTCTCCCTCTCAGATTCTGAGCGCTGTTGAGCTGAGTTTGTGTGTGAGAGAGTCAAGCCTTTCCGCCCCTTGCACGACCTCTCTGCACATGTCCTGTTAGACTTGCTTACTAAATGCAACTGACCACAACCATCTCTATCACCGTCTTTTCCTCTGCAACAAATTGTGCCCAATAAGGGCCTCTTGCAGCTATAAAACTGCTATTTTACATAAGGGAATAAAGAGTAACTGGAATATTCGTGTTCCACATCGTGAAGGAAAGACTTATACTACTGGCAGGCTTGGCTGAAGGCACAGAAGTGAGCCCTCTAGGCAGTCTGGCAGGCTTTGCTAAAGGCACAGAAGTGAGCCCTCCAGGCAGTCTGGCAGGCTTTGCTAAAGACACAGAAGTGAGCCCTCCAGGCAGTCTGGCAGGCTTCGCTTAAGGCACAGGAGTGGGCCCTCCAGTCAGCCAGCCAGCCAGCCAGCCAGCCCCCAGGTAGCCTCTGTGAGAAAGAAAACTAGGGATGGTGACTTGCCTTGGGAGAAACATGTGGCCTTTTGGTCAACCATGGAATGCTTCAACCAGAACCAAGCTGCTTCTTGTCACAATAGAGGCGAAGGCTAACGCATTCAGGCGTCAGGACACATCATGAGAATGGACACTGGGAAAAAGAAAGAGTCTTTCTTGTAGGGAAGTGCAGCGAACGTCAAAAAAATACCACCATTGGAACTTGGGACTGAAACTTGGGACAACCATCCCAGTTCCAGTCAGAATCTACGTAGACGTGGCTGAGATGTCGATGCTGCAGGTCATGCACCAGGGCGTATACAGTACAATACACCATGCAGATTCATTCTGGCAAAGGGCATTTTTGAATTTTTTATATTTAAAAGTTATGGGGGATCGGTCGGCGGATAGCGGTGAGTGGGGTTAATGTTGAGTACTCTACCTTTGGGTTATCCTTGGGATGGCTAATTCATTCCACGCCCACATGACGATCCTGAGATGCTCACTAGACACTCTCTTCTGTGTTTTGATGTTTCGCTGTCTTTCCTGTGCTGTGTTTTCAGAGTGTCTGTGCTCCAGGAAGTTGTTCTCCGGAAGCGGTGTGTGACAGATTTTCAGGAGTTTGCACAGGGAAAAGTGATAGTGAAGCAGGCGTCATTGCTGTTGGACTTGGTGAAGCAGGAGGGGACATAAACGCAGATGGATTTTCAGTGGAATCGGAAATTCAGGCACAGAATTCGAACAGCACATCACCGCTGGCCAAGTTTTTGCCAACGCAATCACCACTGGCGATTCTCAGAAACCCTAATGTCAGCGACGCTGGTGAAGGCGCTATCCAGAAACCACCGGACAAGCTGCCGGCTCTGACTGCATACGCCTCATTCGTTCCCGCAAGACCCCAAGCATTGCCCCAACAGGATGACGCAATAATGCGAGGTGAGTCCCCATACTTCACTCACATGTCTCATATCTGACGGCAGACCCTTCTTTGCGAAATGGTGCAATACCTTTCTCTGAATCTGACCCCAGAAGAGGAGGTCAGGTACACACTAAGTTACCTATCATTCTTTTTTTTTTCTTCCCTTTTTTTTAAATGAATTGCATGCGTTCAGGGTAGGGCAGATGGCGTTTCAGCTCAAGAGCGGAGGTACCAACCTGCCTCACCTCAGGGTTTTCGGATAAGAGTATCCTGCACCAGGAGACCTTTACAGTACCCAGTCGCACAGGCGTCACCCTCGGTCCCCCTGAGGTGCTGCGAGAAGCCCTTACGTTCTCATCAAGAACTGCCCGCCAAGATGGTGATGGGTGATGATGGTCCTGAGTGGTTAACACTAGGGTAGGACAGGGGGGGTGGGGGTGCACCAGGGCAAAAAAGATGAGAGGAAGGGTGGGTGGGGTCTTCAAGAGGGGTTCATCTGGACGACTAAGTGGCTGAGTACTGTGGGTGACTGCCATCTGTATAGTTGCCCACCTCTAGAACAACCTGGGCTTTACAAAAAAAGAAAAAAAAAGAACTGCCTACCCAAACGGGTACAATTTATTGGGCCAGGGTGCTGACCCTAGTGGGCGAATGCACTGTAGCCCAGCTGCTGGGTCAAATATTCCAAACCCTCTCCTTCCTCCTCCTCCCCCCCCCCCCCCCCCCCCCCCCCCCCCCCCCCCCCCCCCCCCCCCCCCCCAACCCCCCGCCGCGGGGTCTTTAAGGACGGGGGGGGGGGGGGGGGGGGGGGGGGGGGGGGGTCAGGGACACAAGCCTATGCCCCCCAACCCCTTAAAAAAAGAAAAGAAAAAAGAAACGTTTGTGTTCGCCAGATTATCCTGGCCNCCCCCCCCCCCCCCCCCCGCCCCCCCCACCAACCCTCTCCTATCCCCTTTCCCCACATACAATGCGGATCACTAATAACAGTACTTTCTGCCACAAAAAAAAGAGAGTACTGTCTAGCAGTTTCTACCATGATCCATGTATGACCATGCATGGAATCGAACTCGTTATGTCTGCCATCTGGATTGAGCATTACCACATTTCTGCGTGCCCTAGTACGATGATAAGGCTGTAGTACAACAACCTGGGCTTAAGAATGTTTTTAAAAAAAAAAGGAAAGAACGAAAAGAAAAGAAAACAGAAGAGGAAGATTTGGCCATAGTCCTTTCTCATCAGGATTAGAATATTCCCTTTGTTGTGTCTCTTACTTCCTTTCTTGTCCTCTCTCATTCTCAGAAAGGCCATATGTCCTGTACTCTGGCTGCAAGGACTGAACTCTATCGTGTTCCCCCCCCTGCACACCGTATCTTCCTCACGGCTGTATCAGACTGGGAAGATAGCTTCTGTTCATGATTAGGGTGCGTTACATTTAGGGTGAAAAAAACAGGGTTGACTGAGTGTCTGTACCTCCTGATCTGACTTTAACTGTTTTTTAAACTTTTTTTAACTCTTTTAAGTTTCAACCTTTTTTTTTTTTTTTTTGTCAATCTGACTTCAGCTGTTGAGAAACGTCAGTTACTAATATCAGAATGTGGAATATGGAAAACCAGCAAAAACTTGAAGAACACTTTATAATCGTAATTACTAATAGCATTTGTGGTCTTATGGCACCCATCCTTAGGTAGGTACACCTTTGCAGCCTCAGAAATGTCCGCAAACACCAACGAGCCTAGCTCAATCGGTACACCAATGAACTGTATGAAATATGGACCTGAGCTTGGGAAGGGAAAAAAAAAGGAAAGGTCCACAAACTGATGCACAACGAAAGGCAAAACAAGACACAAGGCGGTTCTCATAAATAGCAGAAAGTCAATTCAGGACATCCATCAAAACTGGAGAGAGAGAGAGAGAGAGAGAGAGAGAGAAGATTAGCATGGCCCCTGCTTTCAAGGATGACACAAATTTGCCATCTGTGTGCAGCTTCACCTAGAATGCGAAAAGATGAACTTGCCATTTTAGGGGGGGGGAGGAAAAAAACAGAGAAAGAAGTCAATAACCCCTTGGGCCCCAGCTGATCACATATGGCGACTACTTACCTTTGGTTCGTCATGTCACAGCCCCACAAGGGCAAGGGCAAAAATTATTTTTTTCTTTTTTATTGTGGGGTCACGTGCTGATTGGAGCGAAGTGTGCGAGAATTGCCGCGTCTGTGTGGTGCATCAGTGTGGTGCTGTGTGTGGTGTGTGTCGAGTTGGACACTACAGCCTTGCAGTGGTGGGGTGGATAATAGGATATCCCGGCCGGTATGGCTGCACTTTTGAACACCGTGTCCTGGCTATAGTGGTTAAAAGACTTGGCTCTTGAGGTTGAGGTCGCCGGTTCGAATGTCTGCTTGCAAAAGCTCGTTGCAGTAATGATTATTATCATGCTGGGAATCGGGCCCAGCGTCCCTAACAAAAGTTTGCTGCAGCGCAAGGCTTTCCGGCCAAGCAAACCCAGGGCCACGACTGTGTCAGAAAATCAGCCACTTAGTTATGTCCTACTTGCCTGAGTGGACGAAGCAGAAGGGTGATGCTCGAGTATCCGTTGTGTAAGTTATCTTTGATTGCAAATATGCAAATTGAGTCCTATACAAGAGTAGTAGAGCCTCACTTGATTGCTACTTTTCTCCACACGAAGAATATGTTCTCTGTTTTGCACCTTTGTTCCTTTTTTGTGTGTGCCTTCGGCTCTTTTTAAAAAATTTTCGGCCTCTTTTTTGCCTTTTTTTGTCCCTTTTTTTTGTCTTTTTTGCCCTTTTTTGTTTTTTGTTTTGTTTTTTTTTTTGCCTTTTTTTTTGCCTTTTTTTTGCCTTTTTTTTGCCTTTTTTTTGCCTTTTTTTTGCCTTTTTTTTGCCTTTTTTTTTTGCCTTTCGCTTTGTATGTGCCTTTGGTAATTGCTATCATCTTTCATGACTTTGTGCTATGTCGGGACAACCGTAACAGGGGTGGCACTTCATCACGGTTACCTTGCCGGCTGTTATGTCTGCATCGATGTCACGGACGATCGCCTTTGTCAAGATCACGAACCCAGCTGTATCACCTCCCCTGAGGGCATTTTCGAATTCCCTCTCAAGGTCCTGAAAAGTGGAACTGTTGTGCTTCAAGCGGCACTCAGCAACGGCAGCTGCGTCGACAGCTTCTTGAATGCGAAAGCACTCTATCTTATGATGGCGCCACCGCGCTCGCAAGTCGTTTCACCTGTCACGACACTTATTCAAAGCTTCATGGACATGTCAGATATGACCATTGAGGAGTCCATCCGGCATGTGAGAGACGCCTTCAGCATGAAGCCCCTAATTGACTTGTTCACGGTGGACCCTATCGCAGCGACAATTTCTCAAAACCTGGAAGCGAAGCCTACTCTTGTCACAGGACTGGTAATTGCGAACACAGTTGTCCAGGTGGGTTACATCATGCAAATTTTGTCTCCATCCCTGTTCTTCTTCTTCTTCTTCTTCTTCTTCTTCTTCTTCTTCTTCTTGCCTGTGTCTGTTCCTTCCCCCATGATGCATCCTAGGGTGTGCTTGTGTCCCAGCATGCTTATGTGACCGGAAGTAAACCAAGGATCTATGGCATACTCAAACTAGGATTTCTTTGGATGTATCTGATCGCAAGTGCAGCCATTGCTGGATGTATCTGACCATGATAATGCTTAAGTCCATGAGTATACCCTCTTTCACGATGGGACTTAACTTGACACTGCATGTGCATAGTAGAAACTGCACACCATCGTGTTTTTGAGATAACGGTCACTACCCATAGTGCCTGGATGAATAGGTGGTACAGATGCCAGGACCTTTTTGGATGCATCTTACCATAATTACAATCAGGTTCACTCAAAAAAGTGCAAGTGCTAGTATGCCATTCACGGCATGAATGGGACTTTGTCCTACGGTCACCACCCATAGTGCCTGAGTGAATAGGTGGTACACATGCCAGGACCTTTCTGGATGCATCTTACCATAATTACAACCAGGTTCACTCATGAAGAGCTCAGATCAAACTAGCCCTGCTATTGCATCCATGTGTCTGACACGATGTGGTTACACTGCGATTTTATTTTCTTTTGGGTTACGCTGCGATATTAAACCTCGAGACACCATCACCACCTTCTGGGAATACTGGCAAACCCAGAAACCGGTATTAGGGGACAAAGTGAAATGGTTCAATGTGGGGGTGGCACAGTTGAGAGGAAGGTCCAAAAAGTTCTCCATCCAACACGCGAGGGACCGTAAGGATCTCCTCGAAAAACTGATGAAAGACCTCAAAGAATGAGATGAACAACTTATGAATGACCCGATGCCTTGCCCCACATTTGACAGACTGCAAGAAGCGAGGGACCACCTCCAAGCCTACATTGAACAACAAACAGAAGTTTGGAGGATACAAGCTAGGATAAACGAAAGCACATGAATGGGACAATGACGAAGTCCTTTTTCAACAAAGTGAGAGTCGAACTGAGAGCCAACATTATCCCCACACTCAGACACCCACTCGATGGCACAACCCAACCTGCAACCAATGCATACTCCATAACCGACCATGCTGTCCAGTATTACCGGAACCTGTTCACCTTCCAAACGCCTAGTAAGCCCTCTGAAGACATCCGCCGGGCAAGGGAAGAGCTACTGACAGTGGTCCATGCACGTCTCAGGGACACCCAAAAGAACGAACTGGACAGCCCCCTCACCCAACAAGAGGTCTGGGAGGCGTTGCAGGACATGGAGGAGGAGAAGACTCCGGGGATTGACTGATTCCTTAAGGAGTTCTGGACATAGTTATGAGACCTTCTTAAGGACGACCTCATGGAATACGTTGTGGCCGTCCAGAAAGAGGGCATCTTTGGGGGCATGATTGGCCCCCCACCGGACCATGACGACATGCTAGTCAATATGGCAATAGACCGACTGGCTAAATGGGAGGGGCTACATAACTCAATAGTAGGAAGGGCCTGGCAGCCATCTGGTACAAACTAGCAGTCTGGCCACTCAAGAAGCCAATACGCTAGACTCAGGAAAGTGTTAACAACGTACCTCTGGAAAAACACCGCCAAAACTAAGGGCTGCATGCCACAGGTGAGTTGGGATGGCCTCACGTAGCCAAGAACTAAGGGAGGTTTAGGGATATTAGATCCGGAAAGGGAAAGTGAAGCACTGATCTTTAAAGTTGTGGTCAGACTGCTGATAGGAAATGATGTCCCTTGGGGACAGCTAGCCTGCCTACAGATCGCCTCCCTAGCGTCGGAATCATCGGCGGGCAACAGACTGCACCCCTTCCAATGGCTAACTAACAAAGACTAGACACTAGCCTCCCCCCCCTTAGCAAAGGCAGGCAAATAACCCGCAGCAAGCAACGAGACTAGACCTGCTCGTAGACCCCTTGTGGCCATACATGCTTAAGCTCTGGAGAAAGCGAGGGCCGCAACAAAAAAAGCCCCCTAACAAATGGCAAGATATGTGGAGGCAACCCCTGTTTGGTCATCTCTACATCCTAGGTGATAACGGTAACCCCTTTAGCCTAAAAAACAACTCATGGCTCACCTGGTAAAAAAAAGGACTATATGCAGTGGGGGACTTGTGGGACCCACTGTCAAATGACTGGGCAACAACCGAATAGCTGCAATTCAGGCTTAAGCATGTTAAGAATGTGGGAGACAGGAAGACCATGCTGAAGGAAGCCCTCCCCCTTGCATGGCGACTCACCATCCAAACTAGTCTCGCGGTTGGGGCTGACGACTGGTCATTAAATTCGCAGACCTGCCTCGCCCGCTGGCAGTGTCTAGAGTCTGCAGAAATGACAATGGGCAATGCACACTATAAGCCTACGATCTTCAAATGTCAGGGGCCAGATCTCCAAACTCACAAGAAATGACAACCTAGATGGGACCGAAAACTGGGGGGGGCTGATGCATGTGCGAGTCGTGGGGGACCCGCAAGAAGGCCTGTTTGCATTTGAACCCACGATCCCGGTTGCCAAGCTGCCATTTGACCCGGCATAGTGGGAGTGGCCTGGCCCGAAGCCCATGCATATATGGGACTACTCAGTCAAAGGGGGCTACAGGGCGTCAAGGACCGCCCCAACAATCGACCAAACATTATCCACCAGATGGGCGCGAGACTCACCCTTGGACATGCAGATGATAGACAACCTGCCTTGGGCTAAGTATGCCACGATTATGCCCACGAATTTGAGAGCCCTTCAATGGCAAATTCTCCATCGCTGCCTGCCCACTCCCGACTGGTTGGTGTCTCGAACAGACCTATAACAAAAAGGGTTGTTGTCACCTATATGCACCTACTGTGGCAGAGCATCGCCGCCAGCCATGACAACTTTGGAGCATTGCCTATTGGCCTGCCCTATAGTCACCCAATTATGGCCGTGGTGGGATGCAGCCTTCCACTCCCTCACAGGGATGTACATCCCATGGGACCTGGGGCTACTACTACTGGGCAAAAAACGGCACTTGCAGATGCACTGGTCCCCCTTTGCAACCAACCTCTGCTCATACACGAGATTGCAGGTCCTCATGCTGGCCTGGAGAGCCAGGTGCTCATTCGAAAGAAGAGACCACCAATCCAGTCTGCAGCAAGGAGGATCCTCCTTGTCATTGCTCCCAGGGAGGAGAGGATTGTGGCTACGCATTCCAAAATGTGCATCCCCCCTTTCCAGGCGTCATTGTGTTTCAACTGTTTTTATGCAATTTATCATCTTTCACTGGCTGATATTGTGCATTGCCTGCCACGCCTGCCAAATGCCTGACAAATGTCTGTCCAGCCGGTGTGGTCCCTCAATGTTCCTCTCCCTTCCTGTTGTAGCTTTGTGTCCCTTTGTATCACGTCTATTTTTTGCAATCGCTCCGCTTCGCTACCCTTCCTCGCTTTAGCATGTCGGGAAGGGGGGTGGGGAGGGGAGAAAGGGAGGAGGGGGGGGAGGGGGGAGGCACGGGGGCGGGAGTGGGGGAAGTGGAAAAGAGGTGGGGAGGGAGGCAGGGAGGGAGGGAGGCAGGGGAGGGGAGGGGGGGGGGATGGGGGGAGCAAAACGTAATGGGACCGGGGCAGTAATCGTAAGGGGTGCCCGGAGAATGTAACCCCTTTGAGGAGGGAGAGTCCGGCTGGAGCCATGTCATGTTACCAGCACAAAGTTAGGTTGTAAGAAGGGAACCTGGAAGCAGTGGTGGGTCTCCTTTCCCATGAAGGCTCTGTGGTTCTCCACTGCTTCCAGCGAATGTTAAGCAAGCTATCGAGTTCGGAAAAGATTTGGTGCGGATCCTGCCGAAGCAGTCGATAAGTTGTCTTAAACCACTAGTACCTCTGTCGGTCCAGAAGATAGCGGGCAGGGGGGATCAGGGTTGTGTGATTCCTTATGGTGGAGACAAAGTCTGTCGCAAAGTAATGTTTGGTGTGCAATCTGTTAGTATGGGCTTCCATTGTGCTGTCTTTGTGGCTGGGATGTTGCAGTGGGGTTGTTTGGTCTACAAGGGGGAGGGGTAATTCAAATCTGCTCTTAGACTGCCTTTCGTATGTATACCTGTGGTGATTTCGTATGTATACCTGAATCTTTCGTATGCCACCGAGCCGACAGAACAAAATCCACACAAGTACCGCATTCCCCCCCACAATCTTGTTTGCAAACGACCTAACGGTCCTCTTAAGAGCGTCTTCTTCTTCTTTTGAAGCACTCACCAAAGCAATGTGCGCATTCCAGCTAGCCTCAGAAATGCACATCGATTGGAGTAAGACAGTAGGTTGGTGGCTAACAGAAGAAAGACTCGACCCACCCCAAAACACACCAGAAGGCCTGACATGGGCGAACCCCAATGACCCACTCAAACTGCTAGGAATACAGATGTCAATACAAGGTGTGGCAACAGAAATGGCGCCCAGCCTAACGAACAAACTCAACGCCTGGGGGAAGATCCACACCTCCTTACACTGCAGAGCACTAGTCCTGAATGCCTCCATGTATTCGATGATGTGGTATGTTGCAGCCTTCTGGACCCCAGATCAAACAATTAGCATTCTCCTTTGAGCTAGCGCGTTGGGACAGTAGATGGTCAATAACATGGCTATGATCCGGATGTCCGGACCGCCGTCCAGACGGTCTGGATTCAATCCGGACTCCAGGCGTCCGGTCCGGAAGGTCCGGATCTGCCAAATTTCCAAAAAAAAAAGAGGGTCCAGGATCCTTCCCCACTGAGGAGCCAATCCCCCAAAATTGTTTTGGGGGATTTTCAGGCCCGTTTTTGTTTTTTGGGGGGGTCCGGACATGGTCTATCTCTATAATAATTTATTGCTAATACCAAGTCATTCATTATTAATAATTCGTCACTTTTTAAAGTTTTTTTTTAAGTTTTTAATTTTTTTTTAATAGTTTTTGACTTTTCACTCAAAGTTGGTTAGGA